CCGTTTTTTTTTTTTTTTTTTTTTTCGAATCGCCGCTTGAAGCGTGTTAATTAGACAAACAAACTGTGGCCAAGGCGGGTGTTAATCGGACACGCCGCAAGGAAATCTGGAAAGGACGTGCGAGTCGATGAGAAGAAGGAGGCGGCGGAGGAGAAGAAAGAGGCAGAAATTTAGGATCATCGGGAGATATGGAGAACAACGACGAAGCGCGGACTGTGGCCGAACGTGCGTCAACGTCGAAGGAAGAACCCTTGGAGGCGACTGCCGATGATGATTACGGCTGCGAGCATTACAAGCGAAAATCCAAGTTTGTGGTGAGTTCTCAGCCGTTCAATCGCCTTACTCTCTGTAGACATTTCATATCGTGTTGTTTGCTAAAACAATAATTAATAAAAAAGTGAAGTTTTAAGAAAATTATTATTATTATTATCATCATTAATTACTAGACTACGATTGTAAACTTACATTTTATCTCACTCTCTGTATGTTGTGGTATTTATACACTTTATATATTTTTAGTAAACATTCTATTAATTAGATACATTGTTTAAGAATCTTTTTTTTTTTCGTAATTAAAGTACCTACCTCTCAGGGGCCTCCAATGAGATATTGCTCAAAATTGCCATGAAGATTACAGATTAAGATCAATTTCGACATGTTGTGACATTACGCCTGTTAAATAGCAATTCATCTGATATCTCGAAATAAGTTTAACAATTGTTTGAACATGTCGCTCTGTTCCTAGCAAAACCTGCAACACGCACAATACAATGTATGCACGTGAGAGGCGTTCTGTTTTCGGTTTCGATCACGCAGATGTTCAGCGATCAGTTCTCAGCGTCTCAACCGTGTGAAACGAACCTGCTCCTGGATAATGTTGTTTTTAATCCTTACGACGTGCTTCTAGGACTTCGCCTCCTGTCAACCGTGTTCTGATCGACTTTGATCCAACTTAGCTTCGATTTTGTTCTCTCTCGCGTATCATTCCTACAAGTTCATGCATGTTTGTGAAAGCAATTTGATTCTCGACGACTCTAATGACAAGCACCAATGGATTTTTGTTTCAATATATATCATTAATTCGCAGTGTCTGGTATGCATCATTGAAATATAGTTTAATATATATTAATTAAATTTAATGTATCTAATTTGATATAATATATATATTATATATTATATATTATATTATTATATATTATATATGTATATATATATATTATATATGTATATATATATATTATTGATTAATTTAAATGGTCGTAACATAGTTGACGATTAATTACATATATTACAGAGTATTTAAAATCATTCAAATGATCTAAAGTTTCTAAACAAAGATTCTAAACTGTCCGATTGTTTTAAGGAACCTGAAAACGGCGATTGAACAGGATGACAATTTATCATATTGATAATTGGTTGTTTCAACAAATCTTCGCTCGACTGGTAAACCGGATGTTCACCTGGTAAGAGGCCTGAAAAATAAAATTTGAGAAGCATCCGTGAGGCGATCTGTCTGAAAAAAAAAAAAAGAAAAAAGAAACGAAGAAAGAATTGAAAGTCAAAAGGATTCGATGTACCTTCGTGACTACTCTTGAACTTGTTCCGGGTAATCGATAGTACAAACTCGCCTTCTAAAATAAACGACCCGCGTAGCAGCGTCGCTTGCGATTAACGACTGACACCGAAATCGCTGGTACGCGACGCTTTTTCTATCCGCCGTGTGTAAACACGAATGCCATGGTCCCACCATGTGCGTGTGTGTACACGCAGCAAACAAATCGATGAAGTGTTCAGCCGTGTGTTGTGTAACGAGACGCCCTCTTTCACAGTGTTGCTTACCAATTGCCGCGATAAGTCAAATGTCGTGTGCTGCCGCTGGCTGCTACCAACTTCTCGAGCGCTGCCTTCTGATGACGAAAGAGAACCGTGTTAGCAGTTAACAGTTTAGTCTCTCTCTTTCTTTCTTTTTCACCCTCTTGAGACTCGTATTTTGAAACTTGAATTTTTGTTGAATCTACTCTCTTAATAGTTTTTGTTTTCTGCTTCGTTTGCCTGAAGGCGTTAAAATTCTTCTTACTTATTGTTAAATATTGTCCAAGAGAGGCATCATCGGTGAATAATCTAGATAGGTTTGTTACCGAGCGAAGTGCTGTATATACTCTTTGAACGCGCGTATTCATTTTAATCGGTTTTTCTTTTTTTCTTTTTTGTATTTAATACCTTCAGAGATGATGATAAAAAAAAAAAAATCGAGTTAAACTTGATCGATTGTTACGAAAATCTCGAGGAATTCCTTCTTGTTGAAATACAATATCGAGTATACGATCTTCGTTCGTATTTTATAGTTTCAATAGAGAGAGACACTTTTAAATTTAGCGTCACGAAATCACAATCATTTCGTTGTTCAAAATTAGCGTATTGTTTCTTTCTTCGTGAAGTAAGCTAATAAACGGTGAAACATTGATCTTTTCTAGAAACATATTGCGACACGTCTGTAACACGTGTCTCGATAGCACATGAAGGATTAGAACGTACACCATGTGCGCCATCTAATAGGAACTAAGTAATCGTGATGGGAATCGATTGCATGCTCGAGCCGATCATCATAATAATAAACTAAATCCTCATCGCCCAATCGTCTTCTTGTTTCAACAAATGAAAACAAGTTCAGGAAAACATCTTGCCTAATTACACGAATAAGAAATTATGATGTGGATGAAATTGTACAAATAGAAAATCAGACGGCAGGCAAAATTGTGCGAATAATAAATGAAACGCAGAGGAAATCGTGCGGAA